GCCATACAGAGAGAGAGAGAGAGAGAGAGAGAGAGAGAGAGAAGAAAGCCAGCAAAAATCATAGACCCAAATATGCCATATATCATTTTTCAACCCTAAATTAGTAACCAACATGAAAGGGAAACAATAAACAAACACTAAATCACACACCTTTTGCAATTATAAAAAGCAGAAAAATAATTGAAAGGATTTGAAAGAAAACCTGTGGGATCGAAAAGAGAAAACCCCTATTGCTTCTTCTTCTTCTTCTTCTTCTTCTATCACGCAGCGCATTAGGGGCAGAGGCAGTAGTGTCCCAGCCTCATCCTTTCTTCCCAGGTAGATCGATGGTCTTCCCTCTCTCGTCGATCGCTTTCGATCGTCCCTCCCGCCTAAGTCTCTCTCTCTCTCGCTCCTCCTCTGTACCACGTCTCTGTACGTCTTAAAGTCGATAACTTGGGAGTATTATAGCTATTATACTACTACTACGTATTATTATAATTATATATTACTAATGAGAATTGTTTTTTTTTTTTTGTTTTTTTGCGTAAGTTACTAATGAAAATGTTGGCTGTACATAATACCTATAATATAATTTATATTTCATAATTGATATTTATATAATAAAGTAATTAGTTTGATTTATTTTTAATTTTTTGCGGCTCAAATCTATTCAATATTAATGATTTGACGGTCTTCATATTAAATTTTGCTAATATTCCTATCTCTCATTTAACTCTCTCTGTGTCCTGATTTCATATTAACTAATACAATGACTCATATTTCTCAACTAACTTTATTTCTATAAACCTATACACTCTCCCTCCTCACTTCCATTTTTAAATTTTTAAAAGCAAACTAACTCTCCCTCCTTGTTTGTCCAAGCAACTCTCTTTTTCCCTCTGTCCCTTCTCTCTTCCATTTTTAATATCTATACTCACCCGACACCTCTCTCTTCCTTATCTCTCATCTAAGTCTTTCTCTCTCTTTCCCTCTTCCGTATACATCAACCCAACACTTTCATCACCTGACACCTCTATCTCTCTCTTCCTTATCTCTCATCATCTCCCTTCTTATTTCACCCAGCAACCCAACAACCTGACAATTCTCTCTCTTTTTACCTATTCCTTAACTTCCTCACCCAACACCTTTCTTTCCCAGCAACTCTCTCTCTCTCAGTTTTTAAAACAAGCCACCTTCCCTTATCTCTAACGTCCCCCCCCCCCCCCCCCGCGCTGCAATACATACCACACCGGAGTAACACCCTCTCCCTTCCTCTCTGTCTCTACCTTGTGCCTGTAACACACACTAAACCACCCACTACAGGGAGTCCAAGTATCGTCCTCTGGATATTCTCTCTCTCTCTAACTGTGTGTGTGCATGTGTGTGCCTGCATGTGTGTGTGTACGCCTGTGTTTGTGTTTGTGTATGTGTCTATGTCTGTGTTCATGTGTGTGTCTATGTTTGTGTTCATATGTGTGTGTGCCTTTGTGTGTGTGTATATGTTTGTGTTCATGCTTTTGCTAGTGTGTTCATATGTGTTTATGTTAGCATTGTATGTGTGTCATTGTGTGTTTTGGGTTTTTTTTTTGTGTTAATGGTTCATGTATGTCCTGTGTTTGTGTTCATGTGTGTGCCGGTGTGTTGTGTTCATGTGTGTGCCTGTGTTTGTGTTCATGGGTGTGTGTCCACGCGTCTGCCAACGTGTTCATGTGTGTGAGTGGTTGTGTTTATGTTAGAATTGTGTATGTGTCATTGTGTGTTTTGGATTTTGTTTTTGTGTTCATGGTTCATGTCAGTCTTTGTTATGTGTTTCCGGGTTCCTTCTCTCTCTAAATTTTTAATAATTGTAAGCACTCTCTTCCTTGTTTACTTACTTTCTATTGTAATTGAATCTATTTCAATTATGGTATATGTGATATTTTGACTAATTATTTTTGTCAATTTAATTACTATTTTCACACAGAGCTACACATTACCAAATTACGAATTTTCTTCTTCGCCCAGTAAGTAGTAATGAATTTTTTTTTTTAATTCATATTAAAAATTTGTTATGTGATTATCATTAAATATTTGTTCTTGCTTTGACATGAATTTATCATTATACAATGATGTTATATGTTAAATGTGTATTGTTATTTTCAATTACTTATTTACTCAAGATTTGCATGTTTAACAATTGACCCCATCATTCGTTACACTAATAGCATAAGACCACAATCAGTACCCAAATTAGAAAATATTTTATTTTTTTCTGTGATTTCATAGAATAAGAAAATCGTAATTATAAAAAAAAATTAACATGTTCTACACATTCTTTTGAAAGTTAGTTGAATTGCTGATAGAAAAAGTTGACTCAAAATAAAACTCAATCTAATCACCAATATCTAATCCATAAATTCACCCTTCAAGTTATTATTTATACCAAAAAAAAACTACTATATGAAAACATATAGTTCTCAAAATAATAAAAAAAAAACAAAAGCTCAAGCTAATTACTAATAAGAAAAACAAGTGACACCAATTGCACCAAAAAAATAAAAAAAAAACAAGTGACCAATAAAAATAAAACTGTGACGCCTCTAAAATCGAAGGTCCTTTGTCAACCAATTGATCAACCATCAACCCTCGAAAACACCCGTGAATGCCACTTAACCCGTCATCACAGCTAAACGTCCCCTTTATCGGGAACACAATAATTCAAAGTTTGGGGTAGAGTCTTCCTTGTACCGGGCACTCTCAACCACATAACATGTGTACGTTTAATTACATGACCCATCCGAGATCCAATATACCACAATTTATACTCCATTATTGTCAATTTACATCATTTGAATAAATAAATACAAAACCCGAAAGCATGACAAAACATTTTTAAAAATTGAGATTTTTGGAAAACCTACCAATAGGTTTGTCATCATCCTATCGGTAGGTTTTGCCTACTAAAAAAGTTCTACCGGTAGGTTTTGCCTGTTTTCCTACGATTCCTTCCTTTTTAAATTTCAATTCATTCCAAACTTATACAACCTCTTACCAAACTCATATAACATCAAGTTTAAGCAAAATACAATTCACATTAAAATCCTTTTCAATATTACATGTTTAAAACTAAATAACATAATAGTTTTTACAAAACATGTTTCAAAAGTCACATTCGGCTTTTCTTCAACAATGAGGGCCCCGATTGAGAGCCATTCACCGGTGTGTACCATGCACCTGAAATGTTTTTCCATAAAAGGTGAGTCACGCTCAATAAAATATCTCTTAAAGAGGCTATTCCCCAACTTAGATACATATGAAATGTTCACATGCACAATTTCACAAGCAACAAACCTTCCAATTAAGGATATGCAATTCAATGTTAGGAATTACCATGTCATGCCATAAAATGAGATGAGATTCACTCATGCAACTTAGCCCGAGCCTTCACCACTCCCTTCACCCATACAATGTCAAGAGTATAAAATCAGGCATTTCAAGCCCTTGTCATTGATGTTGCACATCCAATAGCCTTTTAAAAATAAATCATGTGTCTTTGTTGGGTATTCAAATTTTGAAATCTCTCCGCTGGTTCCGTATATCGTTGCACTTTTTTGGACTTGCACCGACGGAAGTGTATAAACCAGAAACCGAGTCTTTATCTAACCCTTCTTACTATACTCGACACAAATTTTTCATACAACCGTGAGACTCTGTTGAACTTTGGTCCAACTATACCGAACCCACTTATCAACCATCAAGAGTGATGTTTGATGCAAAAATATGCACACACCCACACCTATGTCTAATGTCCACGAATGTGATGCATCCGTGCAGATGTAATGTAATGAACAATTGCAATATCAATATCATATCCATATGTAATGAATGTCATATGAACTATTTCAATCACATTTCATGGCTAATTATATCCAAAGCATATAATTTTCCATAAATCATCACAATGTCAATATATCATAGTCATTTATCAACATTTACATTCAACAATAATTTTTTCAAGTATGTTATACATAATCTATGCAATAACACACTTAATTTCACATATGCATTTAATCAAATACCTTCAAGGCACCAAATCATTTAATCACATAAAATGTCAAATTTCATCATATAACTTAATAAATTACATTAAGTAATTTCTACATATTCAATTCAAGATAAAATTTATTCTACTCATTTTTAATACTCATTTCATCAATTTTCAACAATAGACAAGTGTTAAATACATCTAATAACCTACACATTTACACATTTCACATAATCACCCTAAGTTGAAAATAAACCTAATTAAAATGAAGACTCTACTTCTTGAAGCATAAAATAACCATATGAAGCTTCAAGAACCCCAATCTCGCCTAAAACCCTTGATTTCTCCAAGCTCATTTTTGAAACTTCGGTGAAATTCGTATTTTTTGGTATAGTTTTGTAGTGTTCGCCGCATAGAAGAATCTTTGTTCTTAGCTTGAGTTGATTCGAGCAACGAATCTCCGCAGACGTAGAGAGAAGGTGGAGAGAACTTAGACTTTCACTCTCTTCTTTTCTCCAACGTAAAGACCAGCTAAAAAATGGGAAGAAAATCAGATTTTCTCCCCCTATTTATACCCTTTCAATTCTTGGTCCACATTGCGCCACACGTTCCTCATTTTCAGGTCCGATTTCATTTCGAAATGATTAAATTTCTACCTGGTTCAAGTTTAAAATATTTTTATTTTAACTTACTTTAAATTATTGTCCAATTTTTAAAATTTTATTTTTCAAGTTCGTTTATAAGGTCTACCAACACCCAGTCACCTCATAAAACACAAAAAATTCAACTATCTCAGAATTCGACGAAAATTTACAAGACAGTTAGATTTCGCGATACGAATCTAATGGTGAGGTATGTTTTGTCATCCGAGTTCTAGAAAATTTGAATTTTCAACCGGTACTATAGCAATAAATTACCATTTTTACCCTTTTCATAAAAAGTTCAAATGTACCCGATAATGTTATTAGAACTGGACCGGACTGGCCGATCAGACCTTGAACCGAGACCTAAAATGGTCTGATTCTTTAGTTAGACCTCCTAAGGAATCGAACCATTGAAAAATCGTGAAAATCGACTGATTTGACCAAAATCGGTGAATCGTTGGAAAACCAGTTTTGGCCCTAGACTTGTCTTTTCTCTGTGACTCCACACGACAGAGAGCACAGTCCCCAAACCCAGTAGAGATTCGCTCGAAGAAGTCCCCTGAGAAGCTTCTACTTCCACCATACCCAACAGATTTAGATCTGGAAACCTTCCTATCTAATGAGGTCCTAGAAGGACTCACATTATCATCCACCATTACAAACTCTTCTTTCTTCTTCTCTATTTGTCTCTACTGTGAAAAAGAGCCATTAATGGATGCTCCCATGGTGGTTCTTGTTGCTGATGATTCATAGTAGATTTCTTCCATTTTTTTGTTTGAAGAATGCTTTGACAAGTGAAGAAATGACCAAAACCCTCTCGTATGAGGACTATGGTCTTCAGATTCATCTGTATAAGGAACACCACAAATAAGTGTTTGCTTGTTGGGTCCTTTTTCTATCTCTCACTTGTTGGGTCTTTTTTTCTCTCTCTCACATGCTTGTTGGGTCTTTCTTTTTTCTTTTTCTATCTCTCTCTTTCTACACGCACACAATTTTTTTTTTAATAGTCGTATAGTGTATATGAATTGAATACAAGTTAAATAGCTAATACCCACATTCAACAATCATTATATTTTATAATTTTTTATAAATTAAATATGAGTAATTGAATATGAGTTAAATAGTTAATAGTTAAATTATTATTTTTATATTTTTTTATTATACAGCCGGTCTGACCAATTAACCCAACGGTTGAACCAGTGAACTATTGACCCAATCCCTTTACCGGTTTGATGTCTGGTCTGGTTCTGATAACATTGGTATCCAGACTTTATATTTTTTTCCTTTGAAAGAATTTCATCCCCGAAATTTACACACACATGCACATTCAACCACATGTATATGCAATAGTCGTATAATACTAAATGACTCTAAGTATGTACCTCCATCCTTAAATAAGAAAAGATAAATAGTACGTATAGTGTTCTCAAGCTCCCATGTCGCCTCCTTCACACCTCGGTGTTACCACAACACCTTCACTAGCCTCACTTTCTTGCCTTGTAAAACCTGTTCTCGGCTATCCATGATACGCATCGGTCCCTCTTCGAAGGTCTCATTCGCATTAACAATCAACTCACCCCAATCTACCACATGTGTCGAATCTAGAGTATACTTCCGGAGTACAGAGACATGGAGCACCGCGTAAACACCGAATAAATTTGGCGGTAACACCAACTGATAACAACTGTACCAACCCTTTCGAGTACCTCGAAGGGCTCGGTAAACCTCAGCGACAGCTTTTCCCACTACCTAAACCTGTCCACTCCTCTCTTGGGCATCACCTTCAAGAAGACGTGATCTCCAACCTCAAACTCTAAAGGTCGCCACCATCTGTTAGCGTAGCTCTTCTACCGACTTTGAGCCGTAAGAAGATGGTTCCGTATCAAGTCCACCTTCTCTGAGATGTCTCTAATCAAGTCTGGACCTGTAGAGGGTCTCTCTATAACCTTCGTCCAACAAATCGGATAGCAATACGGACTCCCATAAAGTGCCTCATAGGGTGTCATTTGTATATTCGTCTGATAACTATTGTTGTAGATGAACTCCACTAAGGGTAAATGCTCTTTCCATCTACTTTTAAAATCTAGGACGCATGTCTGTAGCATGTTCTCTAAAGTTTGTATGGTCCTATCTAACTGATCGTTCTTATGGGGATGAAAAACTATGCTTATCATCAATTGGGTCTCTATGGTCTTCTGAAAACTCTCCCAAAAATGGGCCTTAAACCTGTGATCCCGATCTGATACTATAGATACAGGCACCCCATATAACCAAACTATCTCCCGTATATACAGTCTAGATCTATAAAATTCCTCTAGTGTGAAGGTCATCCGCACTGCCAAAAAGTGTGCCGACTTTGTAAGTCGATCCATTATCACACACACTGCATCATGCCTCGCGATGTTCGTGAAAAGTGGGTCACAAAATTCATTGTGACATGCTCCCACTTCCACTTAGCCACCTCCAAAAGCTGAAGCAACTTTGGTGGGCTCTGGTTCTCAACCTTAACCTTCTGGCACGTGAGACATAGACTAATGAAATCTCCGACATGCCTCTTCATCTCACTCCAGTAGTACTGGCGACGAAAATCATGGTACATCTTCGTGCCACCTAGATGTACAGCAAAATGGGAGCAATGAAATTACCTAAGAATCTCCTCTCTCAAATTCGTAGACTAGGGAACCACAATCCTTCCCCTGTACCGAAGAATACCATCTGCGTGAATGGCCTAGCCCTCATCACCTATACCCCGTCCTTGATGGACAATATCTCTGTATCCCTACCCCTAGGACTCGATCACTCTACTCAGTAGGGAAGGCGTAGCCACCAAAATCCCCAAATTGCCCTGAGCTTGACCCTTGTAGTGTAGTCCAAATTGTCTCACAGTCTTGAGTATTTGACACTTCCGGGAAGCCACACTAGTCAAAACTCCCCGTGACTTCTGATTGAGTGCATCAACCACCACGTTTGCCTTACCGGGATGATAATACAAAGTGAAGTCGTAGTCCTCCAAGTATTCCATCCACCTGCGTTGCCTAATGTTGAGGTCCAGTTATGTGAAAATGTACTTCAAACTTTTCTAGTCTGAAAATACCTTAAACTACTCACCATATAAGTTGTGGTGCCAAGCTTTCAAGACAAAGATAATGACCGCCAACTCCACGTCATACATAAGATAGTTCTGCTTGTGGTTCTTTAACTACCGAGAACCATAAGCTATCACTCTCTCGAACTGCATCAAAACACACCCAAGTCCATCCTTGGAGGCATTACAATACACTATGTACCTCTGTCCCCTCTTTGGGACTATCAAAATAGGAGCTGAAGTAAGCCTCCTCTTTAAATCTTAGAATATTTTCTCACACGAGTCATCCCACTGAAACTTGACCTTATTCCGGGTCAATCTAGTCATAGGTGCAGCTAGTCGGCAGAAGTCCTCAATGAACCTCCTGTAATACCCCATCAATCCTAAGAAATTGTGCATCTCGAAGACTGACTTTGGCCTCTCACAAATCATAACCACCTCAACCTTCTCTGGGTCAACTATCATATCCGTAGCAAGCACTACATGTCCTAAAAATTTTACCTCTGTAAGCCAAAATTCACATTTGCTGAACTTGATGTACAACTGATGGTCCCTAAAGGTCTGGAGAACAACCCTCAAGTGACTCTTATGCTCTTCCTCAGACTTTGAGTAGATCAAAATGTCGTCAACAAAGACCACGACTAACTGATCTAAGTAGGGGTTGGAACACCCTGTGCATGAGATCCATGAATGTCGTCAGGGCATTCGTCAATCTAAAATGCATAATTGTAAACTCAAAATGCCCATAGTGCGTTCTCAAAGTTGTCTTAGGGATATTTGTCTCCCTAATTCTCAACCGATGGTAACTCGTGCGTAGATCTATCTTGAAGTAGACTCGTACCCCTCTCAGTTGGTCAAACAAATCATCAATCCTCGACAAAGGATATCTATTCTTGATAGTAACCCGATTCTACTGCCGATAGTCTATATATAACCAAAGGATTTATCCTTCTTCTTGGAAAACAACACCGAAGTGCCCCAAGATGAGGTACTCGATCTTATAAAACCCTTGTCCATCAATTCTTGCAACTAGACCTTGAGTTCTTGCAATTCTGCATGTGCCATTCTATGCGGAGTTATAAAAATAGGTGATGTACCGGGGTGCAACTCTATGGTGATGAAGTATACATCCCTATGTGGAGGTAATCCCAGTAGTTCTTCCGAAAAGACATCCTCGTACTCACAAACCACCCAAGGTAGACCCAACTCGTGTCTTGTCTCATCGTCCAGGATATGGCTTGCTAGCCAATCCATTAACTACCCATGTCATTGAGAGTCATACACGACTTGGGGGGTAAATCATCTTGTTTTTCCCCTGAAACTTGAAACAAACACTATACGGTGTGTAAGTGGTGACCTTCTTCCGCTCACAATCAATGACAACTTAGTGTATTGTCAGCCAATCCATCCCAAAGATGACATCAAACTCCAACATGTCCATGACTCGAAGGTCTACTATGAGTAGAATTCTTGAGTTTCTAGCTCACAACTCCAACATATCTGATCAATACTCACCTTAGCTCCTAAGGGAAAACTCACATGCAATGGCTCTTCCAAGGTTTCAACCTCTAAGCCTAAGTCCTTCACACACGATACAGAAATAAATGAATGAGATACACCAGAGTCAAATAATACCCTTGCCCATAAGCGAGAGAGTAAAAATGTACCCTGAATAACCGACTGATCCACGAACTTAATTTGAGGTGTGATGGTGTGGACACGCCCCTAACTCCTTGAAGTCCCAACTTGTAAGCCTATCCTCAGCCCATACCCTGGCCTGATTGCGGAGTCTTCGTGAAGTAGTGGGGGCCTATTTAATATCCTAAAACTGATACTAGCTTCCTTGACCCATGGTAGGGTAGGAAAGGATGAAGTAAGTATATGGTTGCCTCACTAATGACTGGGACTGAGATGCCTCATAACTATAAGATTCTTACCTCTGAGGACAATCCCACTTCATGTGACCTGGTTGGTGGCAAATAAAACATGTCCTTTGGCCTGCCAGGCAAGAAGACCTCTGATTTCTCCCGCCTTGGGAGGATTGACCTTGACCTTGGCCTTGATAGTTGCGACCCTGTCCTCGATATCCTTATGGAATAGAATTTTTTTCTTTTTCTTTGAACTAGAAGAAGAGGATTAACCCTCATTCTTCTTGTCCTTAGAACCCAACTCCCGGATGCTCTTTGCGTTGTCTACCTCTCTCTTAATGGTTATAGCGGTCTCGACCATCGAGTCTAAATCTTGTAGGTGATGCCTCACAATCTTTCCCCAAATGGATAATTTCAAGCCATCCTCAAACCTCCTCACTTTGGCCATATTTGTGACCATGTAATCATCGATAAAATGGGCTAACTCAATGAGATTAGCCACGTATTCCATCACTGTTATAGTCTCTTTTTTCAAATCCAAGAATTCTCGGGCTTTAGCATGTCGAACAGCCGATGGGAAATACTTGCCCATGAAGAGCTCCCAGAACTCTCCCCATGTCATCGCCTCTAAGTTCTTCTAGGCCTTTTCCCAATCCCACAACATATGGGCTTCTCCTTCTAGCTAGAATGCAGCTAACCTTAT